TAGGATTTGCTATAACATGGCATGTCCATACACCTGCAGCCCTTTTCCAACCTCAAGGGATAGGCCACTGGACCATCCCTAGTGACAGCTTAGCGCTGCAAGGAAAAAGGAGCCCAATACGCGCTGGCAGCTACCGTCAACTCTTGCATGGTAGCGGAGCTGCCTGGTTCGAGCCAGTGAGCTGAACCTGAGGCCAACATGGCCCAAGCAGCTGCACTGCAGGCAGCACTAGCTGCTGCCACTGCGGCAGCACAAGCTGCAACAACAGCCTTGACCGAGATCAAGCAAACCAAGGCCAGTGGCCTGGTCTCCAAGCCCAAGGAGCTGGAGCTGTCAGGGAAGCCCGAAGAAGACAGGAGGACATGGCAGGACTGGAAGTTCGCCGCTGTCCAGTACCTGTCTGTCAGAGATCAAAAGTTCGTGGAGAATATCAACCAAATGGTTACCCGAACAGATCCTGTAGAGATGGATGCTCTCTCACCTGACGAGAAAAATCGGTCAGAAGCGCTCTATGTGTTTTTGTCAGGCCTGGTGAAGGGTCGACTGCTGGGGATCTTGAAGAATCCTCGGCTGGCAGCCAACTCAAATGGGTTTGAAGCCCTGAGGCTGATCCAACATGAGATCGAGCCAGCATCGGGGGCAGCTGCCATTGGACTGCTGGAAACGATCCTGTCAATCCCTGAGCCACCACGTGGAACACCACTGCGTGATTCCATCCTAGCTGTTGAACGTCTCTTTGAAGATTATGAGGCGTCCTCCAAGGAGAAGCTGGGAGAAAATCTGAAGATTGCCACTCTGAGGAAGCTGTTGCCGGAAGAACTTAAGGTTCATGCCACTTTCCTGGTGAAAGAGGGAGTCACCTATGAACAGGTGAAGAAGGCAGTGGCTGAGTATGAGGTGGCAGACCGAAGCTTTCAAGCGTTGAAGCCCGAAGCCATCTACAGTGGAGGCATCCCCATGGAAGTGGATCCCAGCCAAAGGAAAAGGCAAGGGAGGCAAAGGAGACAAGCCGCAGTGCAAGCATTGTGGGAAGTCTCACAAAGGGGAATGTTGGGCCAAGGGCCAACAAGATTCCAAAGGAAAGGGCAAAGGGGGCAAGGATGCGAAAGGAAAATCCAAGGGAGACAATCAGAAGGGCAAGACCCAACAGTCTCCCAAGGAACCGTGTCAGATTTGTGGAAAGGCAGGCCATGGCGCCGCCAAGTGTTATCAGAGATTCAAGCAGGACAAAGGGAAAGTTCAGCAAACCAAGGACTCGGTGCCATCGGGCACGGGTGAAGCCCCATCTCCCAAGGGAAATGGTGTGGCAGCAATCGGTTTGAGGGATGGCTCTACGTCCCCGGAAACTGAACTTGCCCGAACAATACTGGGCATTACCTCGGCGAATCGGTATGGCCAAGCAAGGTGCCTACTGGACACAGGTGCAGATAAGCACATCTGCCCGGAAAGCTTTGCTAGCTGGATTCCGGCAAAATCTAAGGCCACTGGGCCTAGGTTGAAGGATGCTCAAGGAAATGACATCCCCCACGAGTCCAAATACAGGACTGTGGGACTTTGCCTAAAGAACCAAGACGGCCGGGAGACTGTGGCCTATGTTTCGTTTTTGGTTGGCCCAGTCCAGCAACCTATCTTAAGTGTGGGAAGACTGGAGGATGACTTCTCGGCCGTCCTGGACACTCGAAAGAGAGTGTTGGTGTTGGATGGAGACATCTTGCCTGTCGAAAGGATCTTGCGGTCCTACCACATCCCAGCCTGGGTTGTGGAGCCAACTGAGGACGACCAAAGGCGACAGGTGAGACAAGTGAAACGAATCGTCCATGACGTGGACCAAGGTTTGGTCAAATTTAAACCTCACCTGAAAAGTGAGTTGGAAGACCATCCAAGAAGGAAGAGTAAAGCGGAAACTGAACCTAGAGGCGAGGATCCAGCAAAGCCTTCCAGGACCAAGAGGTCTGGAGAGCCAGTGAAGGAGGAGCTCAGGGCTTGTAAGCCTGAGACTCCTGCTGAAACGAGAGGCGTCAAGGAAGTTTCGCTCTCTGAGTCGGAGGAATCAGAAGAGGAAGTGAGTGAGCCGCCGGTGCCACTGTCATCGCCGGCTGGCCAGGTGATACCCAAGGTACCAGAGGGCCCGCCACCTCCGAAGCCGGTCAAGACGTCCGCCAAGGAAGGACGCTTGGACCAGAAGTTCTTCGGAATGGCCAGCAAGAAAATCGAAACGGTCCTTCGCGAGGAGGATTGGCACGCGGCAGGGAAACAATATCTTCGAGAAGATGGGATTCCACTCACTTTCCAGGACTACTTTGAGTCTAGGCTTCGTGGTGATGACAAGGATCACACCGTGTGTGAGTGTGGGAAGCCTCTGAAACCCTCTCAGGACTCTCTCTGGAGTCACTTGTCCCACAAGCACTGCGTCCCAGGATGCATGTGGAACCTTTGGATGGCGGAGTATGAAGCCAGAATGAGCTCAACTCCCGGCTCTGCCAAGGGATCAAAGGTAAGAGAGAAGCAAGAGCGAGCGAAGAAAGAGGCGACAGTAGAGGGTGCAATCGAGAGGAATAAAGAGAAAGACAGATAAGTCTCAAGAGACCAAGGAGGCTCAGGAGGCACGTTCTGGCGACGAGGCCAAGGGGCCCGTTGTCCTGACTGAAGGCCCTGGAGTCTCAGCCCCAAGTCGCCGGGAGCACAGCGACGACGACTCTGATGTCCGTTCAAGGGATCGAGGCCGGCGTAATCGGTCACCCACTCCTCGTCGAGAGGAGCCGCCCATGCGAAAGAAGCGGTCAGAGATGACAGCAGAGGAAAAGTTCGCTGACAACTATGCGTCCCGAGAGCGGAAGTGGCACAAGAAGGCTTCAAGGGCTGAGGAAAAGAAAGGTGAAAGGAAACCCAGAGGCAAAGGAAAGCACAAGGGAAAGCCGAAAGGCTCAGGTGGAATCCTGGTTATCCGCTGTGAAGGTTGGATCTGTGCCAGCGGATCAGCCATGGATAAGGATCCACCGGAGGATGAGCGCCCTCAGCCTGTTGAAGTCGCTGGTGGAGAAGAATCTGACCTAGCAGAGGCAGAAGAGCTCGCGCCCGGAGGCGGGGCTGCCGATCGCCCTGTGGAACTTAGACCAAACTCAAAGGTCAAGGACATGAAGCGGCGACTGAGGGAGTTGCACGCGCCTGTTTGGGGGTCTAAGGAGATCCTTTGGGAGCGTCTGCAACAACATGAGGCGCAATTGAAGAGCCGACGTGAGGTTGCTGAGCAATTGCAACGGAGAGAAGAAGCAATCAATCGTGATCCTGAGTCGGCCAGGGTGCCGATCGAGATTACCTCGCCAAGTCCACCGACTGACGAGGAACGTGAGGCCCATAGCCTTACTCACCTTCCTTTTGCGCCGTGGTGTGAAATCTGCCTGAGGTCACGAACCCGGGACAATCCACACCGGACAATGCCAAAGGAAGAAGAAGCGACTGCACTGGTAGGCCCAGCGTTGCCACTAGTGAGCATGGATTGGTTTGAAGTCAAGGGGAGTCCAACTGACGAGCGATCAGAGGAGTCGCCGCCTGGATTCACCCAGTGCCTGATGGTCACTGATGGCCAAACAGGGTACGTGGCAGCCATACCATGTCCGGAGAAGAAGAACCAAGCCGCATACCTATGCGAAATGATCGTGAAATTCTTGAAGCTCATGAGACACACTGAGTTCAGGCTAAGAGCCGACAATGAGCCAGCTTTGGTGACGGTCGTGGAAGCGGTGAAAGGGGTCTGGCCACACTTTCTCAGGGTCGACCAAACACCGCTATATTCAAGCGCATCAAATGGAAAGGCAGAGCGCTCCATTCAGACTGTGAGGAGACTGGCAGTCACTCTGCGCCTAGCGTTGGAACGCGACTACGGCATTCGGCTTGATGCGACTATGGCAGTTTGGCCATGGCTGTGCAGACACGCTGCGTGGAGCCACAACCGGTTCCATGTGAAGTTGAACCACAAGACAGCCTATGAAGAGTTGTTTCAAAGCCGATACCGACGAGAGGTCGTGCCATTTGGAGAAACAGTGCTGTATATGGAACCCATGTCACCAAGCCGAAGGAAACGGGCTGGCCACCGACATCAAAAGATGGATGCGGTGATGGAACGGGGAATTTGGCTCGGAAGAGCAGAAGAAAGCGACGAGCACCTCATCGCCAGTTCGGCAGGGGTTTTCCGCTGTCGCACGATCCGGCGCTTGCTTCCGGACCAAAGATCTGACAAAGAGTTACTGGTCGGAATGCAAGGAGTGCCGTGGGATCTGACGGCAGGAGCCATCCCCAAGAAGAAAAGGGAGAAGATCCAAGTGAAGTTCGCCATCCCCGCGCCCACCGTGGCGGAAAAGGATGGAGAACTGGAAGCTCCAATGAGTCCGCAAGATGATGCAGCTAGTTCTGGCTATGCGCCAACTGAACCGGCGCCTGCTGGAGCCGAACAAGAAGAAGTCTCAGACCGAGAGGTCGAGATACCCTCCAGTGGGGCAGGACCACTGCCAACTGTGGCTGAAGGGCAAGGCGGGGATCGCCAAACGGCGTTGACCGCGCCACCATCGCCCAGAAGTGGTCCAACAGTAAGGCCACATGAGGAAGGTCCAGAGTCCCAGTCAAAACGGACTGTCCTCAGTCCGCCGCGTGGGGACAAGAGACCAGCTGAAGTTCCGGTTGAAGCAATCGATCCGGAGGTTCCCAAGACACAGGAATCTCAAGGCTTTGTGCTTGCTGCGACCTTGGAGGTCCGAGCAGAGCACCTGGATGAAGAGCCACCGGTCGCGCTACCAGAAGCCTGGGAGGCTCTGGAGGATGACCTGTCAGGTCTCCAAAGTGCAGACCATCCGGACAATTGGACGGAAGAAAGGTGGTACGAAGAGAGCCACAAGGGAAAATCTAAAGAGTTGAAAGATCTCGAGAATTACTCGGTTTACAAACCGGTTCTGAAGGCTGAGACAAAAGGAAAGAAGTATATCACCACCAGATGGGAAGAAGTACCCAAGTTCAAGAATGGAAGGTGGATTGTTCGTTCACGGTTTGTGGCACGTGAGTTCCGATGGAAGGACCCTGGCAGGGACGATCTCTTTGGAGTTATGTCCTCCGCCAACACGTTGAGAATGTTGGATGTGCTCTTGGCCAAGGGGCCAGGGTACACGGCGGTGATTGGTGATGTCACATGTGCATTCTTCCATGCGGAAGAAGATGAAGAGGTTTACGTCGATCCACCGGTTGAGTGGAAGGAAATCCATGGATATGAGTGGGTTTGGAAGTTAGAACGCCAACTCTATGGAAGGCGTCCAGCACCTAGGAAATTTGGAGACAAGGTTGCACGTGTCATGTGCGAGAAGCTCCAAACTGTGAGGTGCAAGGAGGTTCCCCACCTGTACTTTCATCCCACGAAAGGAGTAGCCATCGAGGTCCACGTCGACGATTTCTATGCCGTGGGACCAGGCAATGCTCCGTGGGAGGTCATGACCGAATTGAAGAACCATCTGACAATCAACCTGGAAGGGCCTTTCAAACCGGGAGACAGTTTTGTCCATCTGAAAAGAAAGCGAGTCATCACAAATGATGGACTCTGGATTGCTCCTGGGGATGCCCACCTGAAAAAGCTCTTGGAGCTTACGGGGTTGCATTGGTCATCCACTGGTCGTGACACTCCACAGACCAAGGATTTGAGCAGTATCCAAGAAGCAGAACCATTGAGCCCGGAGGATGGGACCTTGTTCAGGTCCATCACTGGGATCCTGATGTATCTGGCCAACGATCGGCCAGACGTCCAATACACGGTGAATGAGCTAGCCTGTGCAATGGCTAAGCCAACGAGGCAAGCCCTTGAGGCTGCAAAACATCTGGTCCGATATCTTCTGAAAACCAAAGATTTCGGAATTTTCTTCTCAAACACCTGGGAGGATACGGATCAGCTCACCGTGTGGACTGACAGTGACTGGGCAGGGGACAAGCAGACGAGACGTTCAAGAACTGCGGTCCACCTGTGTTGGGGTGACTGTCTACTGTACAGTTACACCAGACGACAGACTGTCGTGGCACAGTCATCTGCTGAAGCAGAGCTGTATGCTACTGCAAGCGGTGTCAGTGAAGGTATCTTGTTGAGGAAAGTCCTAGCCTTTTTCGGTTACACGGTTGGACTTCAAACAATCACCGACAGCTCAGCGAACAATGCCGTGAGCCATCGGCTTGGGGTAGGCAAAACACGCCACCTCGAGACCAAGGTTCTGTGGCTTCAAGACCTAGTCTATGATGGTCGGTTGGTGATGAGATGGATCCGAGGACAACAAAATCCAGCAGATCTCGGAACCAAAGTGCTTCAAAAGAAAAGGATCCAAGAGTTGTGCAAAATGGCGGGGATTGGACCATTGAATGACTCAGTTGGAGTCAGGTCAATCACTGCTGGAAGTCACCCAGCGAATTGGGAAGGAATTTGCATTGGAAAGCTTTTGGCATTGGCGACGTTGGTCAGCCAAGTGCCAGGTATCCGAGGCACAGAGTTTGTAGTGCCAGATCACACAACGAGTATTTGGACCATGGAGTCATTGCTCTTAGGATTTTTGATCCTGTTGGTGCTTGTGTGGTTCGGAATCTGGGGGCTGTGCTACCTCTGGGGAAAGAAGCAAGCCCAAAAGATCCAGATGAAACCCACCCTTTTCAAGGGAAAGGATTCAACCAGAATTCACTTGAGGAAGGAGTGTCGTGCGCTGAAGAACTCCACGACCGTGCAAGAATGGCCAGTGTGCCAATTCTGTACAGAGGCCTGGTTACAACCAAAGGTTGACTAGCCAGGGCCCACATGTGAAAGGGCTTGTGCCAACTGGCCGAGCGGGTTTTGGGAGAAATCCCATGTGTCGACTGTTGAGACTACTCCAGTCGAGGCGGGGTGTTGGGATTTGCTATAACATGGCATGTCCATACACCTGCAGCCCTTTTCCAACCTCAAGGGATAGGCCACTGGACCATCCCTAGTGACAGCTTAGCGCTGCAAGGAAAAAGGAGCCCAATACGCGCTGGCAGCTACCGTCAACTCTTGCACATTCCATACATACATACATACATACATACCATTACATTACCTTACCTTACATTACCTTACCTTACATACATACACTACATACATACATACATTACATACATTACATACATTACATACATTACATACATTACATACATTACATACATACATACATTACATACATTACATACATACATACATACATACCAACATACCAACATACCAACATACCAACATACCACCACCGCAGGCCACGGGGGGGGCGGGGACCAGAAGAACCATACCACCACCATAGGCCACAAGGGGGGGGGACCAGAAGAACCAGACGATACTGTCCACCCATACCCATTGGTGGGGGGGGGAGGGGGGGTGGCCAACGCTGCACCATATATATTCAGCCAAAAAAGGTCCGGCCCCTTGAATTTTATTTTTAATACCTGTATCTCGGCCTCTTCAAGTCACCTTTTTTAATT